AGAAGCGGTCTGCAATCTGTGCGTGAGACACTTTCTGATCCAGCATCTTCAGAATCTCGAGCTTCTTGTTGTTGTCAGGCCGCGCACGAGAACCCGTCCCCTTCTTGATTCCCCCGCTCGTCTGCTTCTGGCGTTTAGATGGTCCCGCCCCAGCACCCTTAGCTGGTGTCGCTTTGCGCTTGCTAGTCCTGGCGACACACGTGCTGCAGATGCGGTGCTGCTCGTTGTCCTCAAACACGCTGCCGCAATTGCCGTGGAGCCGCCCGCCACATCCTCCCTTGCAGGGGTGGCCATGAGGGGGTTGCGGCGTCCTGTCTTGTTGAAGGCACAGTTCACCTTCCGCACAGGGCATGGTGCGCCTCTGCGTAGAACTCTTCGGGTCTGCAGCAGCACGTGTACCCTCTGTGTTGCGTGTGTCCGCTGTCTTGTGTGTGTGTGTGAACCGGCACTATTGCGGGGCGCCGTGGTGCCCAATCAGCACGATAGAGGGGCCGCCCTCAATAGTGCCGAACCGGCACTGTTGAAGGCGCTTTCTGTGTCCAGAGATTTTACCGGCACTATACCGGGCATCGGCACTATAGCGGGCCCAGTACTGTATTGAAAAAAAAAGTCATGTGCTTCGTCAAATTCTATCGGCCTGGTGTTCCCCCATTAATCTCCCAACCTTTCCGCCCCCCCCCCAAAAAAAAATATACCATATACGAAAAAAACAACGCCCTTTTCCTTTGTTGCAGGTGGTCACACACCTCAACGACGACGAGCACATCACCGCGGCACAGATCGACCCGAACATAATATCCATCAGCCCGACATTTCGTACGACAAGTGCATGAACTTGGTGAAAGAGGTGAACAAGGACAGTGGCGACTGCCACCACAACATGAAGAAGTCTGGGAGTCACGACGAATGGTACTCCTTCTGCCGTCATAACGTCTGTTTTTTTTTTTTTTGTAATGGCCCTTGTGCAATAGGGGGTACAGATAACGGCACGTGTCGGGGGGGTACTCCTAGAGAAAAGACAGTGAGTGGTTGGTCCACGCGTCGGGAACTCTTTGTTGAAATGTAGTTCAATGATATTTCTGTAGCGTGCACTGCTGTACTATGCTTGGGACGATGCTGGAACAATAGGGTTAGGGTTACACAGTTATCGTCGATCAAACATTCCTCAACCACGGCAGAATTCAATCAATCAATGACAAACAGGGGACTTGCCTTGTACCAACACGTGTTGTGTTGCAGCGATAAGTATACCGGTCGTGGTCATTCGAAACGTGTTTCGTGGAGAAATGAGTGCTGCTCGGGCTCTTCGCCCTTGTTAGTTTTGGGTCATGTAATGTGCAAGTGTTCCACTGTTGGTCGTGAACGCCCGACAAAGCACAGCCCCCCCCGCCCCCCCCCCCCCCCCCACCTAC